CCCTCCCCTCCCGCGCTAGCCTAAGGGCCACCTTAGCAAAGCGCATCCCAGGCTGCATAGCCGCACTACCCTACCCAACCATACCACACATAAACATGATACTACCCCCGGGGTTTACACAGACGAGCCGGCGAAGCAAGAAGAGCGCCAGAAGAAAGGGCCCTAGCCGGCGGGGCCCAGCCAGGACAAAAGGAGGTCCCACAAAGCGCGTAGACGACGGATGGGGCCCACCTACGAAGGCTGTCCAGGCCAACATGAGATGAGGCAGTATAAAGAGGGATAATCCCCCTCGATCCCAAATCATTGAGGCCAATTTCTAGCCATGGAATATTGGCGAAGCAAAGCAAAGAGGATATACAAACAAATAACCTCTTTGCTTGGAACATGAAATTGGTATTTAGTGAAATCTCTTTGTATATTCTCTTTGGTTAAACTGTGGACAGTGGTTGTATTATATGTTTTGTGGTGGTGGTGGTCACTGGACAACTATCAATTTCAATTTATCTACCAAATCGGTGACGTTTGATTTTTGTATTTACATTTGAATTAATTTTTCTTGCCTGGTGAAATTCTAAAATTTGTCAGAAACTGAAATCGTTATAATTAAAATGTGGGCCGATACACTATTGATAGTATTTATATCAATATGCACGGCTCTGTTAGGTGAAGGGCTTACTTGGTTGATGGTCTATAGAACTGAAAAATACCAAAAATTAAAAGCAGAAGTGGAGAAGCAAAGCAAAAAACGTAATTATATTTCATCTATTTTATTTTTTATTATTACTCATTTCATTTCCCAGTGGAAAAGAGAAAAGAAACTCATGGGGATTCGTTAGATAAACAGCACAAAAAGAAAATAGAACGGGAAGAAGAACGCTTGAAGAACAACAACAGAGACCTTTCCTTTGTCAAAATGAAGTCGATGTTTGCAATTGGTTTCGCATTTACCGCTTTACTGAGCATGTTCAATAGCATGTAAATTTGATGAAATTTTATAATTGAGATAGAAATTATTAATGTGTATTTTTAGCTTTGATGGACGAGTTGTAGCGAGATTACCTTTCCAACCCTTGACTTGGATACAGGGCCTCAGCCATCGTAACTTACCAGGAGAAGATTACTACGATTGTTCTTTCATTTTCATATATATACTGTGTACTATGTCTATAAGGCAGAATATTCAAAAACTTCTTGGATTCGCACCCTCTAGAGCTGCATCAAAACAAGGGAATAGCTTATTTGGTACAGGTCCCGGACAATTTAAATAATTGTTAGTTTTTATTTAAATTTTAAATGTTAGAGATTGACCAATGTGATCGCAATAATTTATTTCGAAAATAAATGTTATTTATGTTCATTGTTTTTTTATTATGCAAGTCTATAATATTAAGCAGATAAATGCAAGTTAAAGAAGATATATTCACACTTTTGGAAAAGATAATGCTGTACGTATATAGATAATTCAGTTTTAAATGTCGTTAATTTATATAAAAATGCAGTATTTTTCAAAAATTATCACAATGAGATGAATCACTAACATCTGTTCCTGGAATTTAAAGAAAATTTCCAACTTTCGATAACCATTAATTATAGAAAATTTTAATAAACTATTTTACTTTCCAAATCAATGTCCCACTATTCAGATTACCGTTATATTGAAAGATTTTTTTTTTGGGAGATCTTTTGACTCATTGGCATTGGCAATACAATTGATAGTACACTTTTACTTTCACTTATATGTTCAACTACTTACGAAATGAAACAAAAGTTTTTGCTACAAAGTATTTAATTTAACATAAAGATTATGCTTTAAGGGCAAACGTCCTTGGTGGGAATGCAGAACGTTTTCTGATCTCCTTGGGAGTTTTGATGCGCTGTTCGTGTTTAGAAAGTGCACGTCTGATTGAACGGGTTTTCTTGGGCCTCAAGTCCAAAGGCTTATATTTCTTATTTTTATACAACTTGCGCAAATTCTCCTTCTGTTTCTGGTGCATAACAATGTACACACGAGCAATTGCCTTACGCACCACACGGCTAAAACATAGTTATTGAAAATATGATTATTATTATCTCGACTTGCTACGTACATTTTTGAAAGTTTTGAAGGGGCTCCTCCAGTTACTTTTGCTACTCTGAGACTCGTAAGTTCTGTTTTGAGTTCCTCGAGCTGCTTGGTCAGCTCCTTCTTGTCTTTGGTCCTCAATTCTGAACACTTTACTTTCCCCTGAAACAAAAACCAAACAATAAGTTGACATAACCAAAAATAATTACAAATTCGTGAATATGTCAATAAATATTAATAATTGGCAAAAAATATTCACTAAAGAACTTTAATGAATGCCGAAGCAGAAAATACGAATTTAAAATATGGGAAGATGGTTAACATTTATAATAAATATTCGAATATTTTTAAACGTACCATGTTTCCTTCTAATAAAATACACCTCAAAAGGAACCAGGAAACGTCAAACTAAAATTTAATTCCCTATCAATTGAAAATTTAGTTTTCTAAAGAGATACAGATTGGTACTATTGGTTAAGCTATTTTTCACGAAAACAATATTTCATATTTCATAGTTTATTTTTAGCAATACTGCAAAAAATAATATTTGTATCAAAAAGTAAATTCAGTAATTAAGAACTTTTTAATCTTGCATGGATTCTCTTTTCATATCTAAACCTCCGAGTCATATAGTTTATAAGTTTCGCTAACAAATAAGTCAAAGTTAGAGCTGACGATTGTCCACAAATTTTGACGTTTGCTGGCCATCGGGATGCAGGGGGCATTACGATTAACACCCTCAGATCCGATATTTACCACCCCTATTATTCTTTAACCAAATAATTTGCCTCTTTTTGAAGTACTTTTTCTTAGTTTTGATGACGTTGATCCTGCTATCACCTGGCCGCGTAACAGCTTAATTCCATTAAAATCACAAATTACTGAACTACTACCTAAAATTATAGGCAATGCCAACAATTTTAGGGGCCTTGGTCATGGCCTATGAACAGGCTAGCCAATAGTTTCATAAAACTTAAAAACCCCCCAAACTTGACTGACAATTTGATTTCTGATTTGACAATTTTATAACCTCTAATTTCGAAGTGGGTGTGTTGTTTTTATCAGTTAAATATCCTCTTTAAAAATGGCAAAAAATACGTCCAGTTCAGCCTTCAGAAAAATAGATGTGGATCAGTATTCCGAAAATAATTTCAAAGAAGACGAAACAGACTCGGGAGGTTTGGTCGGACCCGATGAGAACGAAGTGAACTCTTTAATGCAAAAATATCCTTTTTATATATTTATATTTCTCTGATCATTCTTTTATCAATACTTTTCCTTAATTAATAAATACAGGTAAATTAATAGATGCCTTAAAAGTGCTATTGGTAAATGCTCCTGTAGGAATAAAAAACCAACAGATAAAGGTGAGTCACTCATGCCGATATCGCCAAATAATTGATAACTCTATTTATAGGAAAACGCCTTGAATCTTACCCTCAGAGTGCTTCTTGCAATAAAACCATCACAGATAGAAGATGCAGTAAATTCTCTCGATACAAATTTAATGGACATTTTAATGAAATACATTTATAAAGGATTCGAATATCCATCGGAAGGAAGTAGTGGACATTTGCTGTTGTGGCACGAGAAAATATATAATGTCGGTGGAGTTGGTTGCATCGTACGGGTTTTATCAGATACAAGACGAGTTTGATTGTGTGAAGGTTAATGAAACACATAAGTTATTACTGCACATATTTGTTACAAAACTTATATCATACGTCCTCTTTGAAGAAATCCACTATCAAGTAACGTAATCTTTACTGGGTTTAGAAAAATAGTCGCTCTCTTTTGGATGGCTATCAAAATAGTGGTATAAAATAATTGTATATTTGGGGTTTCAAAAGGAAGCGAGTATTAATTAGAGACGTTTTAAGTTAAAAACAAGTGTTTTTTTAAATTTTTTATTTTGAAAGCATTTAAAATAATGTAACAAATCACCTTATATAAGTATTGTTTGATTAATACAGTCTTAAACGTTTATAAACTTGCTCTTTACTTTGTACCTTTTCTTTGTTTCAGGGGGGAAATAAATTTTCTTGCAATATTTCAGAAATATAAGAAATAAACTCCAAATAAAGTATTAAAAACGTTAACAAACAACTTGTAATATAATATACAATTTTAAAATGGCAACAAGTATAAAATTTATATATAAAAAAAGAAACCTATAAAATTTATATAAACATTATTTGCACCATATGGGAAAAAAATTTGTGAATTCAATAAATTCCTTCCTACGTCAGTTGTCTCTGCATGTTGTCAAATCAAAATAGCACCCATCGAACCTCATAAAACGTTTGTTACATACGAGGGGCGGATGCAAATCAGCTCAAACGTAAAGTACCTTTATTTTCAACCTTACGGGAAAATGTTACAATGAAAAGTTATTCATTAACATTATAATTCCTGAAAATAAGTTGAATCACAAAATTAAAAGCCAGTAAAAAAATGGTGTAGAAAATAAGAACAAATTTGGTGCAATTTAAATGTTAATGTTAATTTAATGTTATTCAAGAAGTATCGCCTAGAACACAGCCCCACAAAAAAAAAAAGTGTTTGGACTTGTGGGTCGGACATATATATTCCCATGTATTTTTCGACGCTGAATCCGATCCCGAGCTCAGAAATGGCCCTCCACGTCTGGAATTGGCCCCAGGGGCCAAAAATGGCCTCTATAGGGCCTGAAAGATGGATTCCGGAATATGGTGAGGTCGAAGGTGCATTTTAAAGCCAAACCCGGATTTGTGGTCGAAAAGTTTATGGCCAACTGAAATTCCCCGTNAATTTTGAAAAGAGAAAATTCGGTATGGTATATACCTACTTTTAGGTAAAATATTTGGTTTTAATGATCCTTGAAGCTACCTATAAAATTTATATAAACATTATTACTACAGCCTTTACGAAATGGGTTTTTGATTTCTTCTCTAATTATTTAAATAATCCAGTTCACATTAATTTAATAGTCAGTCCTAAACTAAAATAATAGTATTAGTATTATTTGCAAGGAAAATATATTTTCAGATGCACGTCTCAAAACTCGTAATTGGAGATTCACAAAGATAATTTGCAAAAAAAATACGGATGAACCATATTTAAATCACTCCATGTTCAGTCCAGCTTAGAACGTTCTGATAGCAAAACAGAAAAGGTGGAGGGGGAAAGAAAATTCAAAAAGGCAAAAAAAATCGATAATGTAATCACTAAGAAAAATGGGGAATTTTTTTATATAAAGCAGCAGAACGGAAGGGAAAAAGAGTACTATTCATTTCTAGTACACAGTGTAACTTTTAGAGCAGGGGGTCAGGTTCTCAGGGATAATACAGTAATAATAGTACGCATTCCTAGAATAGTAATCAGAAATGTATTTTTTTAAAATCAAATAAATAGTCCAGTTATAATTGATATTTTAAACGGCAGCTACCGAATTCAGTTTACAGCGCTATCCAAAAAGTTCACACCATATGGGAAAAAAATTTGTGAATTCAATAAATTCCTTCCAACGTCAGTTGTCTCTGCATGTTGTCAAATCAAAATAGCATCCATCGAACCTCATAAAACGTTTGTTACATACGAGGGGCGGACGCAAATCAGCTCAAACGTAAAGTACCTTTATTTTCAACCTTCAGGGAAAATGTTACAATGAAAAGTTATTCATTAACATTATAATTCCTGAAAATAAGTTGAATCACAAAATTAAAAGCCAGTAAAAAAATGGTGTAGAAAATAAGAACAAATTTGGTGCAATTTAAATGTTAATGTTAATTTAATGTTATTCAAGAAGTATCGCCTAGAACACAGCCCCACAAAAAAAAAAAGTGTTTGGACTTGTGGGTCGGACATATATATTCCCATGTATTTTTCGACGCTGAATCCGATCCCGAGCTCAGAAATGGCCCTCCACGTCTGGAATTGGCCCCAGGGGCCAAAAATGGCCTCTATAGGGCCTGAAAGATGGATTCCGGAATATGGTGAGGTCGAAGGTGCATTTTAAAGCCAAACCCGGATTTGTGGTCGAAAAGTTTATGGCCAACTGAAATTCCCCGTTTGGGACCGGGAAAATGACCCCTTAGGGGCCGGAAAATCGTGTTTCGGACGTCGCAATCGCAACANACCTCAGCGAGGCATCCCGTACCTCCATCCCTGACTATGACATATACAGACATGACAGAAACCGTAACGGGGGTGGTGTTGCACTCATAGTAAAGAAGTGCATCGACCACTATCCGCTGCAGCGGCTCCAAACTCAAAACACAGAGGCCGTGGCGATAGCGGTGAGATCGCTACGGCATGGAGACGTTGCGGTGGTGTCCTGTTACCACCCACCCAGACTACCACTACTTGACAATGACTTAGACAAAATCCTTTCCTGGCCCCAGACAATTGCCATCGGGGACTTCAACGCGAAGTCCCCCATATGGCACAGCGGGACGACGACCACAAGAGGTCGCGTCCTGCTGAATTACCAAGACAGACACGACGACTTGACTATACTCGGACCGACAGAACCGACACATTACGGACCCGTAGGACGCCCCGACGTTATCGACATTGCCCTCTTAAAATCTATACCGTTAAATGCCCAAATATCCACCCAATACGAAGGGTCTTCCGCCCACAATCCAATATTTCTGGATCTGGGGCGAAGACAGAGATATGAAGGCACCTTCACGAGGAGGTTCACTGACTGGGAGCGTTTCCGAACAGTAATGCAAGGAAACATGGCGCTCCCAGTCATAGAAACCACCCATGATCTGGAGGCGGCAATCCTCTCCCTTGAGACTGACATTAAAAACGCCCTGACTCAGACTACGACGGAGATCAATGTCCCCCGACTGACAAACCCCCGGGGCACCCTCCCCGATGACATAAAAAACTTAATACGTGACAGACGACGCGCCGCGCCATTATTCTATGGCTAGAAATTGGCCTCAATGATTTGGGATCGAGGGGGATTATCCCTCTTTATCCTGCCTCATCTCGTGTAGGCCTGGACAGCCTTCGTAGGTGGGCCCCATCCGTCGTCNGCCAATTCCAGACGTGGAGGGCCATTTCTGAGCTCGGGATCGGATTCAGCGTCGAAAAATACATGGGAATATATATGTCCGACCCACAAGTCCGAACACTTTTTTTTTTGTGGGGCTGTGTAATGTTTCACCTAGAAGTAGGGTTTTCCATAGTCAAAAAGTTGATTGCTACTTATATCAGTTTTCTTTTTGTATTTCTTATTTTTTAATTTTTTTGTATTTTGTAAAATAAAAATTACTCCCACCTTATGGCTACCAGGGTTAATATTTTTTAAACAAATGAACTGTAACTGTAAATTTAAAAAGTGGTGTATACGAGGTTTACCATTTTACTTAAATTTTTATATTATTCTTGAACAATTTGCACCAAATTTGTTCTTATTTTTTACACCATTTTTGATAACGACCTTATTAGTTCCTGATTTCAGGAATTACAATGTTTTTCTTGTAGAAGCTTACTAAAAAAACGCGACTTTAGTTATGGATGTTTTCGCTCAAATTATTGTACAAGGGAAGTTGCCAAAATGCCAGAAATCGCTTTTTCAACGTAATGAACTGGCACTTTATATTCAGGCTAATCTTTTAGAGAGAAATAACTTCTTTGTAACATTTTCCCTTAGGGTTCAAAATAAGGCTACTTTACTCTTGGGCCGATTTGCAGTTTTCGTCTGCCCCTCATATATAACAAATGTTTTATGAGGTTCGATGAGCGCTATTTTGATTTGATGATATGCAGAGACAGCTGACATTTGAAGGAATTTATATATAAAATTTTTTCCCATATGCTGCAAACTTTTTGGATAGCGCATATGTGGGTTATCAGTGTCGTTTGTATGGAGTTAATGGAGTGGCAGAGAATGAAACTGCAATGGAAAATAATTTTGTAAAAATAGATTGCTTCTATAGGAATTGTTTAACAGACCAAATATAAAAAAGTCAAATGTTCTTAAAAAATTAAAAATTTTTGCGTGATTTATTAACTGTTAAGTAATACTGGTATGTGGACTGGAAGTAGAACTATAAATATGACCCCAGTTCAAAGTTATACCCTATAGTGATGTGTGGCAGCATTTAAAAAAATTATTAATTCTTAACTTACATGATATTACAGAAATATATAAATATACTATGCATTAATTAAGACAACTATTCTTTTTCACCGTTACTTACCTTATTAACAAAACACGATCTCTTAAATATGTCTGCAAGAAAAAAATACAAATTTCATTCATATCTCAATCAAAACTAGTGTCAGTGTTTTTCCCCTTTTGAAATCACATACGAAAATACTTGAAAATACTTGAAACATTGCTATAAATTACCTCTATGCTATTTTTGCAACATTGCTATCCCCACACTCTAAAAATAAACGAGCTATAACAAGGTTATTGCCAAAAACGTCCTCAAGCAGTGTCCGAGTGTGAAAGTGTCACAGTTTGGCCTTCTGCGTTTTAGCGAGGACATTGTGCATGTCCAACAAGCTGCTCTCGAGGGCCTCGCGAAACTGTTTCGCAGAAGTATCTGGATGTTCGGCAAAAGCCGACACTCCGAAATTTATATCGTGCGGCCTGGGATTGTAGCAACAACCGTATCCGTCGGCGGTTAGGGGAGCGTAGCACATGAACCCGTCACACTTGGTGGCTACCTGGCTGGTGGACAGGCGCATGTGGGTGCTGCGTGTGAAGGAGGGATCACTGTAGATTTCGGGCAGTTCCAACCCGTTTTCCAGGGCAATCAGTTTTAGGCCTAGGAAGTGGCGGTCGACGCCGAAACCATTTACGGCCTGAAATATCGCAGAAGAAAATTTAACGGTGAAATGTGTACAGTATATACGAAGCAGCAATAATAATGACTTAAATTTTGAAAAAAACTTCTGCATTAGGGAAATTACCGATGATTAACGCTATAATTTAAAAAAAAATATGTTAAATAAAATAAAGTCTGTACTTTCTTCATTATTTGTACCCTCTAAATAATGGACACCGCATACTGAACATTTTTAGGGCTCCCTGTATACTTTTAAAGCACTGTGTTTAGTTTGTGAATCTCAGTGTCAATGATCTTTGACACTGAACTAGTTTAAGTGAACTACATAACATCAATCCACCTGATGGGATATGACAAACTGCTTAGCAGAGAACATTAATTCAGCAAAACAAAAATGGTGCAATATGTCACCGCCTCATTTTAAATTAAACAAACCTATGTGTTTCTAAAGGTCAAAGGTACCCCCCATTCAAAATTATGCCCTATATAAAAACATACCTCGATGGAGTATTTCTTGTGAGAGGCTATCGCCTCCTTCAGTGCTGCCACTCTCTCAGCATCAGATTTTCCAGTATCAAGCATAGCTTTGGCGAATGCAATCGATTCGATGGAGCAAGAACGAATCGTCTCAGTCCTGCCGTGAATATATTTTCTAGTCGCCGCAGACTCGTAATGCGCCCCAGGGACCTTGTGAATCCTACGAACAGAATAGTATTTGCGTGCTGAAAAGAGTGTATTAATTTTTAGTCACCTGTAAAAAGCGTACTGCATGGCTATTTGTAAGAAACTGTCGGGGCTAAGTTTTTGAGATTTTACGAATTCTTTACCAAACGAGGTGAATTTGAACGAATCCATATCCAAATTATCGACGAGCCTACAAAATATATCTCGATAAACTTGCAATGAATCGAATACATCACAACCTACTTGTCGATATGTATATTAGCCGCTTGTATGTATTTGGACACGTTCTCGGAAACGTTGAATTCTAATTTTTCTGGCCAATGTTCCAATTTGATATCTTCCAGACCCGAAGAGGCATTATTTTTACTACAATGACCAACGATTTAAGGAGAAATCTAGTTGCAATTAATCACTTACATGTAATCCACCAAATAGTCGGTCATTACCGCGATGGGCTGACCTTCGCTAGGCGAATGCTCGTAAGTTAAACCTACTGTACCGTCTTGACCAATAATGAACTAAAAAATATATAAAGATATTACAAATAGTCTGAAAGCGTTAAAAATTATTAAAAACTTACTTGGACGGTTTTATCAAACCAACGGTTCGCCGAATTACCTCTACTACCGCCACCGTGAATAAACTGCTTGCTAGCCATGGACATGCGGCTGTCATTAAGTTCAGGCATCGGATTGTCTAGCGCTACCAAAAATAATGATTTCTGGATTTCGTCCACAGATTTTTTATTCACTGGATCTAAAAACATGGAACGAATGAATTCTGAGCTGATCAGTTTCGTTAAACTTACCTTTAATAAGTTCTGTATAAGCCTTATTCCAGTTGTCTCTATTTTCTGTAGAAAGAACACCAATAGGTGGTCCAACCTCAGCAGACTCCAGCAAAATCATCTCCAAGTGGTTTATCAACTGGCTAAGGCTAGGCACTTCTCCATTACGGTTTATAACTTCTAGTTTAAAAAACTGCAAATTAAGATTTCATATATACAATAAAGCACTAAAAGAGGAACTTACGTTATTATTTTTAACTATAACTATATGTCTGGAGTCTGAATTATACTCTAAACCATCCAATTTCTGTCCAGGGATGCGACAAGTCCCAAAAATTTGTTTATACTGGTTCATATCCAAAGGCTCCTTACCCATTTTGTCTACAGGTATTTTATCGCTAAAACAACACATTATCACTCATGTAAAAGAGGAGAGAAGAATACTTTACCTGTATATAGCTTTCTTGTATTCCACTGCAGCCAAAATTAATTGAGCTGTATACGTTAATCTATCCGTCTCATTTATGAAATCCTCAAACGGAAAAACTAACCCTGGACTTGAGTATATAACGACTGGATCACGGTATCCCAAATAAGCGTTGTTCAACCACCAGTCAGCCAACCAATTTTCGCTGTTTTGTGCCTTCTGGACGAGGAGTTTTTGCAGTTTCGTTCCAATACCATTTTCAGAACTGAATTCTTTTAATATTTTCTTCGTGTTGTTTAATTCAGCTTCACTCAGAAATGGAGTTACTGTCTTAATGTATTTTTCGATGGACTGACTCAATATTGGAACTGGCAGAGACGGAAGTTTTAAACTATTCTCAAATTTTGGTGCAGCAACATTTGAAAGAGACAAAACTTGATTTCTTATTAAATAAAATAAGGTTTCCGAGGTCTTTTGATATAACTACAAAATGAAACATATGGACTTTTTATACATTAGGTTTAATGTACTTACCAATTTGGGTTTAGATGCAATCATATTGCTAGAAGTGTTACTGAAAGGTTTGGAGCTAGAAATAGTAATAACCATTTTAAATTAACCAAGGAAATCGAATATTACTTATCAATGTAATGTACTTGTATATACCTTGTAGTACCTACCACGTTATCACTTTATTTAGAGGTAAACAAGATTACAACCACTTTATATGCAAAGAGAAAGTGAAAGCTAAACACTTGAACTTGAGAACTTTAGAACTTTGTTAACATGTTGACTGTTGCGCTGCGTTGACATTTATTGAGGTTAAACAAGTTAAACATGCAGACTTTGTACTGCGAATGTTAATCATGATATTAAATATTTAATTAAAATTGAAAATAAAAATATTGATAATGTGCATTCTATTTTTACATAGACAATTCGTACATGTATTGTTACTAAAAATAAAATTTAATTTTAGCTATTTATTCAAATTATCCGCTATTTATGTATATTATAGCCAATATAAAAATATAAAAATTCAAAAGCCAAATCTCAAACTCAATTCCTGCCTTCCAGGGACCCGGACCTTAATGTAATAACGGTACCGGTCCGGTTACGGTTCGGTTAGAAATGTACCANTTTGTAAGATTTTTGTTTACATGGAGTTCGGGCTCCTTGTATAGTCTCCATGGCTTTGTTATTGAAACTGACAGCTGCAATACAGCTCGTTGAGAAATGAGGTTAAGTTGGTCGCTATAAGCTACGCCCTACGTCCAATGTGTCAGAGCCAACTTCGACCACGTTTTTATTTGAACGCTCATATATATTTGAAATTTATCATCCTAGTTATTTTTTTTCTAAATCGAATTTTAAAAAGTTCCTAAGTTTGAAACAGTGACCAAGAAAATAATAGAACGACGCTGTCGCTAACCTGGTTAATAAAATACTAATTATTTTATTGTTGTTATCTATAGCAATAAACTATCAATAAACATTTAACGTTTTGTTGGCCAGGTGTGTTCTATTTGGTTCTATTATTATTTGAGTGTTATATTTCGAAAATGGTGAACTTGGGCGACATTTTTCCCAATTTCTCTGCGAAGACCACCATCGGAGATATTAAATTCCACGACTGGCTCAAAGACTCGTAAGTATAAACTCTCGCGTCAAAGCAACATATTGAAACAATTCTCGTAGTTGGGGAATACTATTCTCGCACCCCGCCGATTTCACCCCAGTTTGCACTACGGAATTAGCCAGAGTAGTCAACCTTTATCCAGAATTCGTTAAAAGAAACGTAAAAGTCATTGGATTATCTTGCGATTCCGTGGAGTCCCACAAGAAGTGGTGCAACGATATCAAAGTATACGGTGGTTGTCCAGGGGACAGTTTTCCTTATCCCATAATTGCCGATGAAGACCGAGAACTTGCCACCGAACTACAAATGTTGGACCCCGATGAGAAGGATGCTCACGGTATTCCCCTTAGTGCTAGAGCTGTCTTCATTGTAGACCCTAATAAAAAAATGCGGCTCTCTATTTTGTATCCTGCTACTACCGGAAGGAATTTTGAGTAAGTTGGAGTTCATTTTTTGAAATTGTTTAATTTAAGTTTGTTTTAGTGAGATATTGAGGGTGTTAGACTCTTTGCAGCTGTGTGATAAACATAAGGTGGCAACACCGGCGGACTGGAAGGTATTTTTTTTTAGCAACGATAATGTGTTGGTTTATAATTTGACTTGATTTCAGTCTGGTGACGATGTCATGGTCCAACCCAGCGTACGGGACTCGGAAGTCAAAACGCTTTTTCCTTCTCTTACAGTGGTGGCATTGCCTTCTGGTAAAGGCTATATAAGAAAGACTCCTCAGCCATGAATAAAAGATTTTCACATTTTTCTACCAGATTTAAATATTTGAGTTTCAGTTTTGTTTTGATGATTTTCACAGTTTGTTATTTCGAAATAAATATTTAGTTCTTAAGTGTTTTTTTAGTTATTTTTCGTCATAATAATCTTCTGTGTTTAAAGCATGTGGTTTTTCAGGTTAATATGCTGGTCGCACCAGTTACGGACATACAATGCACTTCCTTCGTTAGGAATCTTCGACCTACCCTTGTTATTCTCGGTCTAGGCTCTGTGGGTCTCAATTTCAGGAACCCTTCCCATTAAATCAGTTACACCAAAACGGAACATTTCGGAATACCACCGTTGTCTGAGGTGTAGTTGGGTCCATAGAGGCATTAAAATAAATAAAATAGGAACTGATATGAACATTTGGGCGGGTATAGGGGTTCTGATATCAGGTCCGCCTCCACAGAGCCTAGCCCAAGAATAAGGGTAGATAAAATATTAAAGTAAGGCTATGAAAGTGCAATGTAAGTTTTTTAAATCAATGTTTCTGATTTATTTTGTCTTTTTATAAAAAAATGGTTTGGGTAATACCTATTATGGGTAAAAAAAACAAAGTATATAATAGTAATTTATTTCAAACTGATAAAGAATAACAAAAACTTTGATTTACATTTTACAGGTGACTAGTTGAGAGGGGGAAAACTAAGACCCTTCAAAATAAATTTAGGGACCAAAAAAAAATTAAATTAGAACTGTTTAATGGGTAAATAGTTATTGTACACTATTTATGAAGATAGTGACTTAAATTACAGAAAAGTTGCACAATATTTTCCTGAAACTTTTCTTGAAATCAAATCTGACAAGTTTCAATTGCTTGTAGTTCTTGAAACGTAAAGAATAAACTTGAAAATGCATTTCTTATTTTAGCGACTTTTTTCAGTATTTCACTGTTTTTGAGATCCAACAGTCAACTTTTCTTTTATGGATACCATAATGGAAACGTACAGTAATTACTCTACAATTAACTTTAAAAAAAATTTTTTTGGGATTAGAGGTATATCCAAACAATTATTGAATCTTATTTAAATAACAGTAAAAGACCAATCTGTATTGATAATAGTCAGTAAATTTAAAAATATAAAACATGGGGTTCCCCAAGGTTCCACTTTGGGGCCACTTTTTGTGATATATATTATAGTGGGGGTGCCCAAAATAAAACGAATATTTTTTTTCGTGTCTTGTGAAAATATGTTGGTTTATCATGTTTTAAGAACCTCCTCAAAAAATCAACACAAAAGATTTTTTTAGAGGTCGCTCAAGATTTTTAAAAATTTCCAAAATCGTCAAAAATTGAATTTTTTTTTTAAATTTTTTTTCTCGTTTTTTATCATTTTCTAGGTTGAAAAAATCTCGATTCTGAAAATTTCAAATCGATATTTTAATTTCTAAAGATCACTCGGAATTATTTTAACTTTAAAAGTAGTGTACCTAAAATGTTTTCGAGCGACGTCTAAAAATAAATATCAAGGAACTAATAATTTTTTTTATTGAATTTGATGGACAAAAGAATAGAAATAAATCACGAGACATTTAAAAAATTTCTCGAGGCAAAATTTACTACCGCACTGAGTATCAAATATTTATAATTTTTTAAAATTTAAGTGCCGTGACTTATTTCTATTCTTTTGTTCATAAAATTCAATAGAAAATTATATTAGAATATTTGCTCGTTGACATTTATTTTTTAGAGGTCGCTCGAAAACAGGTACACTACTTTGAAAGTTAAAATAATTATGAGTGACCTTTAAAAATTAAAATATCGATTTGAAATTTTCAGAATTGAGATTTTTTTCAACCTAGAAAATGATAAAATAACGAGAAAAAAAGTTTTAAAAAAATTCACTTTTTGACGATAAATTTTTAAAAATCTTGAGCGACATCTAAAAAATTTTTTTTTTTGAGGGGGCTCTTAAAACATGATAAACTAACATTTTCACAAGATGAAAAAAAATATTCGTTTTTTTTTGGGCCACCCTAATATGCAGTCATTTAAGGCAGGGAAAAGTGTGGAAAAGCAATGGTCATGGAGTAATATTTTTTTAATAAAATTATGATTATTGATAAGTTTTTACAAGATGTGCAAAATCAGTAGACTAGTCAGTTTATTTTCAAAATGGTGGACAATTTTCTGATTAAACGTAAGAGTAAATTACAAAATATTAAAATTATGAGAAAGTATTCCCATAAAATATGTTTCAAATCGAAAATTACTTTTAAATTCAAAATTTCGAAACTTTCACTTCGGAAAACAGTGAAAGATTTAGGAGAAAAGAAAAATAAATTTATAAACAAATGAGTAACAGATCAAAACAAAAGGCTTTTTCCAATTTATCGACTAGTTCATTTCAAAAAAAAGTTTTAGTAAAATATGAGACGTATCCACAAAGTAAGAGTACTGAGATTCTGATCCTCTGTGGTTTTTGTTTTCAACAAAGTTGTCATCACTACATTCAAGGCTAAGGTGTTTGGAGCAGAACGTGTACTTATTTGATTCAGTCAGTTGAGAACTGTTGTTGTAGCGGCATGTTCAAGTGAGTGCCTCTATTCTGAATCACGCCAGCTGTGAGCTGTGGTGCATAATCCAGTTTCTTCTTGCAAAGGGAAAGGCATCATTTCAGATTTTTAACGAAATCAAAACTGTTCATGGGGATGGTGTGATGAATTGTAGGTACTAATGAGTACAAGTGGTATCATCAGTATAAAGCTGGCAAAACGAATGGCCATCAATCTTAACTGATGAGATGGTGCAGATCAAAGAAATGCTTCATGGTGACCATTGATTGGTTTTGGATGAGATGAACGCAGTGTTTCCAGAAATATCCAGATCTCTTCTGCATAAAATCATTACTAAAACACTTGGTTATCGAAAAAATTGTGTGCGAGGTGGGTACCAAAACAGCTCATGGATCACCAAAAGCCAACAAAATCGCATTTTCACAGAATTTTGCGAGTGCTTCGAACTGCAAGGTAAACAATTCCTTAACTGTATTATGACTGGCGACAAAACATAAGTGGACCACTACACCCCTGAGACGAAAAGACGATCAAAGCAGTGGCGACATCCACTTCATCATTAACGAAAAAATATAAAACCATTGTTTTGGCCTGAAAAATTATGGCAACTGTGTTCATTGGAACATCATCAACCACATCGCTCACAGCCCTGACCTGGCACCTTCTGACTTCCATCTTTTCGCTTCTCTGAAGGTGGAAAAAAAGTTTTCTGTGGACAATGAGGTCCACAGTACCATAAAACAATGGGCCCAAGAGGCAGCGGGAGATTTTTTTGACGAAGTGCACTGAGGTTGAAGGCGACTACGTCGAATAATAATGTTTGATGTACCTTCTGAATGAAATATACTACCCTTCTGATTTTTAAAAAATTGAGTACTCTGACTTTGTGGATATGCCTCGTATAACGCAACTTTGTTATAATTTGAGCCGCCCTATATCTGTAACAGTTTACGATATTTCTGTAGTCTCCCATTAAGCAGTCCCAGAATAATGCCCATTATCCTTGTTTTTACAAAGGAAACCCACATGTATTACTTGTCATGGAGAGGAGGGGTTTTTACCCCCAAAATCCCTCTTGTGTACGCCGTCGCTTAAATACAGTGTTCTGAAAAAACTAATAAAAAAAACATAAAACTTTGGCATTTATCACCAGAAACACTCTGTACAAAACTTGTGCATACAATTGTGGGATCAAATATCTAAAACCATTTGAATTTGAGTAAAAAGAAAAGCAGATCAAATATCAGATCTAACATTGAAATATTATAAACAAAGTAGAAACTAATTACAAAATTATACCAAGGGTTTTTTCCACCTTTTACTAAAATATCTGCTAACATTTATTTGTCAAATAAGAACAAACAGTGCTTTTACCATCACAAAATAAAATCAATTTGATATTTGAAGAAGTAAAAAATAGATGATGTGACGCAATTGGTGTTTCACACAAAAAAACCTTTTATGTGAAAAAAATATATATTTATGTATGCCGTTACCAGAGTTAAACTCACGCATACATCTTCAAACTGAAAGTGTGATATTAATTTGTTAAAAACAATAAATTCCACTTCGGGGTTTGAAAAATACTGGGGCGAAAGTTACAGTGAGATGAAACCAAAATAGGGACAAATGCAAACATTTTCTATAAAAAAAAAACAGATTTGTGTGTGTAACTTCAAATTTTGCGTTTAAACTCGATATTTCGACCAAAATGTATAACAAATAATTCAAAATTTTAAGTTTGAGTTTTAAATTTGGTCGTCAAAAATAACAAATGGGTCAAAATTTGTAGCTCATATTAATTCAAAATCAAAAATTATAAAATTTCTAGTCTGAATATGAAATTTTAAGTTTGAACAAAAAAGTTTGATTCCATATTGTGTTTGAAACTTTAAGCTGTATCTTTAAGTGTTCAAAAACAAAATTTCAAGTTTGAACGTGAAATTTGTAAACAAAATGATTATACTTTTAATAACTCAAAATTTTCAATTTCAAAATTCTGTAAACAAAAATATAATAAATAGGTCACAATTTCTAACTCATATTTGTCTAAATTCAGAATTTCATGTTTCAAACAAAAATTCAAAATTTCAAGTCTGAACTCGAAATTTTGGGTGCACACAAAATTTTGAATTACAACGGTAAATTTTAATTTAGTTTGACTGCATTTTATGTTTGAAATTTTGAGTTACAACTTGAAATTTTGAGTTTGAACTTATAATTTATTAAACAAAAAATAACTCAAAATTTTGAATTCGAGCTTGAAATTTGGCAAACGAAAATAGAATAAACAAATTAAAATTTTTAGCACATATTTGTTCAAGCCCAAAATTTCCTGCTTCAAAAGAAAATTCAAAATTTGAACATGAATTTAATTAAATGATTAAATTCTGTGTTTGAAATTTTTTGTTCAAATTTGAAATTTCGAGTTTGACCACCAAATTTGGTAAACAAAAGTATAACAAATAGTTCATACTTTCTAACTTCCCTCTTATTCACATAAACAGAATTTCCCATTTTAAGTGAAAATTCAAATTTTTGAATTCAAACAAGATTTTCAGTCTACTTACAAATTTCAATTTTGAGTTTGATCAAATTTTGTGTTTGATCTTGAAATTTTAGATTCAGATGAAATTTGGAGTTGTTTATCTTTCACGTTTGATTTTCCGCAGTCGAGTTCAAACTCGAAATTTCAAGTTTGAACACGAAACTTGTAAACTAAAGTATTAAACTCTTAATTTATTCGAAATTTTGAATTTAAATTTCCTGTTTCACACAAATATTCAAAATTTCGAGTCTGAACATGAAATTTTTGTGTTCAAACACAAATTTTGAATTACAACTGTAAATTTTGATTTTGAGTTTGATTGCATTTTGTGTTTGAAATTTTGAGCTATAACTTGAAATTTTGTGTTTAAACCTGAAATTTTGAGTTTGAACTAAAAATTTATTAAACAAATACGAATTTTGAATTTAAACTCGGAATTTTGATTTTCCGCAGACGAGTTCAAACTCGAAATTTCAAGTCTGAACGTGAAATTTGTAAATAAAAGTATTATACATTTAATAACTCAAAATTTAGAATTTAAATTTCCTGTTTCAAACAAATATTCAAAATTACGAGTCTGAACATGAAATTTTTATATTCAAACACAAAATTTTGAATTACAACTGTAAAATTTTGATTTCGAGTTTGATTGCATTTTGTGTTTGAAATTTTGAATTTGAACTGAAAATTTATTAAACAAAAACGAATGATTAAAAATTTTGAATTTAAACTCAGAATTTTGATTTTCCACAGTCAACAAATTTCAAGTTTGAACGTGAAACTTGTAAACAAAAGTATTAAACTTTTAATAACTCGAAATTTTTAATTCAAATTTCCTGTTTCAAATAAAAATTCATAATTTCAAGTCTGAATATGAAATTTTGGGTTCAAACTAAAAATTTTGAACTTGTGTAGATTATATAAATTTTGAATTCGAGTTTGATTGCATTTTGTGTTTGAAATTTTGAGATATAACTTGAAATTTTGTGTTTAAACTTGAAATTTTGAGTTTGAACTGAAAATTTATTAAACAAAAACGATTAAAAATTTTGAATTCAAACTCAGAATTTTGATTTTCCACAGTCGACCTCAAACTCGAAATTTCAAGTTTGAACGTGAAACTTGTAAACAAAAGTACTAAACTTTTAATAACTCGAAATTTTTAATTTAAATTTCCTGTTTCAAATAAAAATTCATAATTTCAATCAAATTTGGAGTTGTTTATTTTATCACGTTTGTATTTATCTAAACTCAGAATTTTGACTTTCCGCAGTCGAGTTCAAACTCGAAATTTCAAGTTTGATCGTGAAATTTGTAAACAAAATATTATACTTTTAATAACTCAAAATTTAGAAATTAAATTTCCTGTTTCAAACAATTATTCAAAATGTTGAGTCTGAACATGATATTTTTATGTTCAAACACAAAATTTTGAATTACAACTGTAAATTTTGATTTCGAGTTTGATTGCATTTTTGTTTGAAATGTTGTTATAACTTGAAACTTTGTGTTTAAATTTCACATTTTCAGTTTGAACTGAAAATTTCAGTTTTAAGTTGGAACTCGAAATTTTGATTTCAAACTCAAAATTTCGAGTTTGGCCGCGAAATTTGGTAAATAAATATGTATATAACAAATAGGTCAAACTTTCTAACTTCACGCTTATTCACTGAAACTCTAAATTTCCTATTTTAAGCGAAAATTAAAAATTTTGACTTCAAACACAAAATTCAATTTTGATTTTGTCGAATTTTGTGTTTGACCTTGAAATTTTAGATTCAAAATCGAAATTTGGAGTTGCTTATCTTTTACGTTTGTATTTATCTAAATTCAGAATTTTGTGTCAAAAAATGAAATTTTGAGATCAAACTAAAAATTTTTATTTTCCACCGTCGTGTCAATAATCGACTTATTTAACAAATAATCACTGGATACTTTATTTGTAGATGGAAAAATTGATCCTAAGTGTAAATAATAACTTCAACACAGTCAAGTTTGACACGGAACCTAACACAGATAATTTTTTTAATATGAAATGCCATCACATCACAAACACAAAAGAGAAAACAGCGGTCCGAGTGAAAAACGAAGGAAATATCAGCACCCTTACCAAAATAAGAGTATTACAATCTAGGATCAGTCGATAAACACCTACTTAACATCGTCTTTACAATAACAGTACTTCCTAAGCTGGGGCAGGTCATTTTCGATGCACCTCGCCTGCTTACCGTACAGGTTAATCCTACTTACGTCGCTGAGCTTCACCTGCAGCACGTCGCCGGCCAGATCGTGCCTGATGCTGGCCTCGAACAGCGAGTTGCCGGGAGCCAGCATCACCTTGATCTGGTACATCTCGTAATCGATTTTCATGTGCGCGGTCAGGTCAGCCACGAAGCCGTCGATATCGGCGTTTTTGTTGAACTTCAACAGGTTCTGGTTGGGCGACATCTTCGTCACCCAGTGGATCTGGGAGATGGACAGCTTCTCGCACAGGTGTCTGTAATTTTTCGTGTATTCATTTATCGTGTCAACGAGCGTCTCGCCCAGTTGCTCCACTATGGGCTCGGAAGTGGGCACTTCCTTCCAATCGAGGCAGGCGCACCAGTGGGGTTCGATGTAGGCGTGCGCGCAGCTCCTCTCGGGGGGGATCTGTGAAAAATTGTAGATGGAATTGTAACGAGACTTGTGTCGCAGAGTGATTGTTACCTTTGAAAACAACGAGACGGATCTTTGGGAAATGTCCGCCGTACCGGTGTTTTCCAGATGTAAGATGTTCTTTAGAGTGGAGTAAATGTCAAAAGGGGTGGCCAGTTTGTTTTGGTTGTTTTGGAAGTTGTTGTATATCTTCCTGTATTTCTCCCTGAACCACGTCGGGAATGTGAAGGAGAAGAAGGGCAGGCGTTCTTCTTGCTTGCCTTGGATTGTGTTTCGAACGTCTGCAAACCTAAAAAATTTTTTTTGGAAATTCATTCCTCTGCCATAGGCTTTGGACAAAAGATCTTAACATTATTTTTGTTTTAACTCATAATTTCCTTTTTAAATTATGGTGGAATTTCATTTTCAAATTGAAAATTCTGAGTTTGAACTCTAGTCCAAATATAAAACTTCAAACTTCAAGTTTAAATAAAATTTTCAGCGTGAATTCAAAATTTCATAAATTAATTAATTCAAATCCCGAACTTTGTGTTCCAAATGAAATTTTGAATTCAATTTGGAGACTACGTACAAAATTTAAAGTTACGATAGAAAATTTTAATTTTTATTGAATTTTATTGCATATTTTTGTAACTTGCAACGTTGCAACTTAAAATTTCAGTGTAAACTGAAAATTTCAAGTTCAAACACAAATTTTGAGTTTCCATTTGAGTTTGATTTCGATTTCTTGAAACAAGTTTAAAAATGAAATTTCAAGCTGGAATTCGAAATTTCGAGTTTAATTATGAAATTTTGAGTCATATACATAATTTTGGGTTACATACTTTGAGTTTGCACTCCCATTTTGGGTTCAAATTAGAAAATTTGAGTTGTAATATGAAATTTTGTGTTTGAAGTCAATAGTTGCTAATCACAAGTATAGACAATAATTTTAAATTTCAAGCCGATATTCATCTAAGGTCAGAATTTCTTTATCAAAAACGAAATTTCAAATTCAAATTAAAAATTCTGATCTTGAAAATTTTGAGTTTAAGGGTCATTCTCACAAAATGGGCACAAAATATGTCACATTATTTTTTTAATGTTGTCGTTGACTTTTATGATGCTCTTTATATATAAATTTCAAGAGTGCATTATTCCCATCATTAGGTAGTCAGTAAAAAAATAAATTAAACAAAAATAACAACCAAATTTTATACTGTCCACAGACTGTGACAAATCATGTCCGTGGAAGCTCAATTCTTTGGCTCTTACATTGGAAATGTTAGTATAAAATTACTAGAAACATTTTTAATATCAATCTCCGCACAATTCACTTTATTTATTCACTTTGACTTATTATATCAAAACAAAACTAAACAACACATTAATTATTGTTCTATATTGAAAATGAATGTCACCTAATCACATCTGTGGACTACTTTACTAAATTCAAAAAATCGCGACTAATATAAGTTTCTATATTTCTCCATCTGATGTAAAAAACTCGTCGATGATTGGAGAAAAGAAGGGAAGTCAGGAAATTCAGTATGCGACAAGCGATAGAAAAGATAAGAAATTACACGAAGAAAAAATGAATGGTGGGGAAAGAAAAAAGAGAAATAGGCGACTAATACTAGATGCAAATGAAAGAGAACAAAGTATTAGAAAAAAATTGGGGAAAACGTTCTAAACGATACCGAGAGAAAGAAAGATTGATGCAAGCAAGCAGCGTATGAAACTGACTTTCTAGACACCACCACAATGTTCACAAGTTATAGAGGGACATTTAGAAAGTCCAAGTGCATTAATAAGAAATACTCCTCGTGATCGTCGAAAGAGAATAGTAAGAAAAGATCGAGACAAGATGAGAAAATTAATTAACAATTCGGAGAAGCTAATGTATAGCCTCTAGAAAACTGTAAATAAATATAAAATCCGAGCAACCAGAGCAAATAAAAGCATAGCTAGTTCAGTTTCTAGCCCAAGATTCAAGGTTAATCGTGCCTCCAAAAGTTAAAAGAAAACTGGTCTTTACAGACAAATCAGAAGTTTCAGTTGGTGAACCAAATATTATATAACTGGTGTTGTTGTGATCCCGAATATAATGATAGAAAAAAAACAGTGTTTTTGAAGAAGATTTAAGCCCTTACTAAAATTTATTTTAAATATATAATATTCAGCGAATAGATGTTTACGTGAGAATTTAAGGTCTTTATATTATTTTTCTTCACTCACATTATCAGATTAAAGTTTTCCATGGGCATGTAGTTGATGTTTTGACTTGAAGTTTTGTAAATAACCAATAGGTCAGAATTTCATTTTCCAAAACGAAATTTCGAGTTCAATTTCTAAATTTTAATTTTGAATTTAATAGAATTTTATGTTTGAAGTGTTTGAACTAAAAGTTTCGCGTGCGAATTCGGAATATTGAGTTATACCTTTAAAGGTATTTGAACTCCAAATTCGTCTGATGTAAAAAAAAATTGAAATTTCAAGCCCATTGAAACTAAGAATTTTACGTGGAAAAACAAAAATTCAAGATTAAATTCGAAATTTCAGTTCTTAAACGAAATTTCAAGTTCAAACAGGACATTTTGAACTTTTTCCTGAAATTTCGACTTTAAATTTCTAACTATAACTCCGAATTAAATTTGAACTCAAAAATTGTGTGTTGAACTTGAAATTTCAAGTGGCAATATGAAATTTCGAGTTTAAATGTAAAAGTACACAAAATTACATTTAAAAAAACTCGTTCAAATGCAGAATTTCATGACAAACAGGAAATTTTGAATTTAAACGATGATAAAAATTTCAATACATCAAATTAAAATAAAAATTTAAACGTAGCAATCTCCTTTGTTTTACCTGTGACCATGATCCGCCATAATAATTAGAACAGTATTATTCAAAGCCCCGGACTCATTTAAATCTTTCAGGAACTCTAACAAATCGTCATCGAGTATTCCGACCAAATTATAATCGTTGTGGGATAACTCTCCATGGAAGCCGAACAAGAATTTGGGTTTTGTTTTGTAAACAGTGAAAAACTAGAAAAGATTTATAAAAATAAAACCGGTAGTAAACGAGAATGATTCAATGCACTTTTCTACTCTAATTTATTGGTAAAGAACGTACATCTTTTATAGCGTTTAACATCACTTTATGCCTGGGGATTTCTCCAGTGCATAGTTTAGGCCACTTGTACTGCTCTTTGATGCTCGCTAAATAGTAAGGCCGCATGTAGTGATCCGTCGGGGCTTCCTTAAAAAATAATGACACGAGATTTGGTTACGGGAATTAAAATTGCACGATTCCTACCTTGAACCCATTCAATCTGTAGGTAAAAGTACTCAAGTTGGGTACGTCTTCGAAGAAAGCCGTTACATATCCCGCGTCTTTATAATCGTTCCAGATAAACGGATAGGAGTTGACGAATTTGGTGTTCTTTAATCGTTTTCTAGTGTCAGGTAGTTCGAGTTCAGTTTTTCCCGTCAAAATAGGGATTAAGGCTTGTGGTGTTCCATCTCCCACAATGTTGTAGCTAAAAATATATATACATGTCTTTGTGCTGAAACGTAATATTCCTACCATTTCTACCCCTGCAAGACAATGCCTTCCAAAATCTTAGTTAGGTATTCGTACGATTTTGGCAATTTTCTTATAAAGGCATTCCTGGAAAGTGAATCTAATCCGAACATTAACACATCCATTTTTAAGGCATTTTGTGGCAAATTATCCCAACCGGTTCTATCCCAAATGTCGTTTTGGTGTCTAAATCCTGTCAGAGTCGCAGACCACGAGCTGTCTGATGCGGTACACGCAACTTGAACCTAAATCGGAATTTATTGATTTGTGAGATGTGCCATTCTAATATTTACATACCACATCACTTTCTTCTAGTTTATACGAGTCAGAAACAGTAGATTTGCCATTGCTTGATGTGTAGTCATCAACTCTTAGAATATCCGTAAAAGTACACTTTATAGGTCCATATTTTATTTTTGCCATTTCCTGTATACTACATTCTTGGCCCTAAAATATTTGAAACACAGATGTTTATTTTGCTAATCCAAAGCAATGTTTAATGTTCATATTAACAAATCCTTCTTCAAAACATAATAAAGCTTTATATAAACAAAACTGTTGTAATCAGTATTTAAGGTATTAAAAAGAATTATAAACTAATCTCTGTTTATTCAAACAAGTAATTTGCTAATATTTGTTTTAATTTTTTATTTACAATCAATAAAGTTTACTGTAATTAAGAATATGTATACGTTGACTCAAAAAGAGACTATTTCAATCAACGGAATATAATAACATACCACACATTTAACCCAATCCTCTCCAGCTTTGGAACAGTCCAATTTAGGAACAGAATGTACAAATTTCATTATTTCCGGAGCATTTACAGGAAGGTTGGGCTGTTTGCAAGCTAACGAACTTGCTTTATTTTTAATCAACTCATCAATTTGTTTTCTACAAAGATACACTTATAGAAAATAGAAACTTTTACACACATATCTTTTTACTTACAGTCTTGCAACTCTATCAACGTCATTAATAACAGAGTTTCTGGATAATATAATTAAAGTTATCAAACCGAATGAAAATATCGCCAAAAACACCGTCAGTTTTCTGATTTGAATCATTCTAAAAATGCGCATTTTGCTAAAAGATATTGAAAGTTTTAATACCTCCTTATTAACATTTAAAAAACAAAAAGATAGTCGAAACTTACATTTTCCTGCAGAACGAATTTTTAGTATATTTGGACATTCGTTCTTTATCGTATCATTACCACATTTAATAATTAGTAACAACCACGCGCGTTTATTATGTTTGTTTTTAAACATAAACAAATATTTGTGTTTATCTAGGTATTTGTGGCTACCTCCTACCGCTAAAGGACTAGACACAAATATGTAAATATTTTCATCCTTTTTTTATTGCGTATGCGTATTGCGTTGCCTTGCTTAATATCCGTAAGGACAACTATAAAGATTTAAAATATGAATAGATATTCGGTTTAATAACTATTTTATCTAATGGAATTTTGAACTTAATACGTAAATTTATGAATAAAAGACGTTTTCGACTTCTTTAAATTTTTGCACGCAGTGTGTTAGTCTTAGGGCTAGGTGGTCTGTGTATACTACCAATCGAGGTAATAAAGGATGGAACTATTCTTAGCTCGTCCTGAGTGTAAGTAAATTGAAAATGCTATAAAATTTGGTGGTTCCGAATTCGACTGGTGACCATAATAGTAACTAAAATATTGTTGTGTTGGTGACACTGTTGTGAAACCAATCATTATCATTTTTTAGGTTAACCATTTCAACATTTGTTATTTATGCGAGATATTTTTTTGACGAAGTATGAAAAACATTTAATTTGAACAACTTTTCTCATATTTACTTTAAAATATTTTACCAAAGATGACTGCAGAGATTTTTGAAAAGAGTGACGAGAAGTTCTACAATGATGGAGCTAATTATTGGTCAGAAATTCCTGCTACAGTGGATGGTATGCTTGGCGGCTTCGGTTTCGTTTCCCAGATAGATATCAAAGATTCTAAAATGCTACTGAAGCACTTGTTTAATTCGAAAGTTCCACCTGATAGACAATATGCCTTAGACTGCGGAGCAGGTATAGGTCGAATAACAAAATTCTTATTAACTGATTTGTTTGAGAAAGTAGATTTAGTAGAACAGAACCCTGTATTTCTCGAACAAGCAAAGAATTATATGGGAAACAAAATTTCTAAAGTGATCAATTTTTACCCAGAAGGATTGCAACATTTTCATCCACAACCGATGAAGTATGATGTTATTTGGATTCAGTGGGTGTTGGGCCATCTAACTGATAACGATTTAATAAATTTCCTCTTGTCTTGCCAGTAAGTAAGCGTAACGAGTTGTTATGCCAATATATTATTTAATTTTAACTTTTAGGGACGGGTTAAGACCCAACGGTGTAATTATAGTAAAGGAAAACATAACCTCAACGGATGATATTGAAATGGATCGTCAGGATTCATCAGTTACTAGACCCATGTGGTTGTTTCGACGGATATTTGATAAAGCGAATTTGGAATGCTATAGACAAGTAAAACAGCGAAATTTCCCTAAGGGGTTATATTCTGTGTATATGTTTGTACTTAAACCAAGGAAAGAAAACTCTTTAGAACCAGAATGTATTAGTAAAGTTCCGTTATCTAAGGACGGTTCTGAAACTACGGAAATTAGTTGTGATGGGAGTAATATTCAAGAGGAAAATCGAGACTCTGATAACTCTTCTTAAGGACATACGAATTCAAATTTTACGATGACAGCTAAAACAAGTTATTGTACCAAATGAATTTTTAGCAGCATAATTCATTATGATTATTTTAATTTATTTATGTAAATTATTTTTTTATTAAATCGAACAAAAAAAATCCAGTTTCTTTAGTCATCAAAAAACAAATTAAATTGGCCTGTAAGATTAAAAATCAATTTTCATCTTCATAAAACTTTGAAAAATGCTATTTTACCAAGTAAATTGTATAGGGAAAATTTAATTTCAAATTCTTTATCAAGGGTACACAAAAGAGTGGATATGTAACCCTACAATACAGGCCAGAGAGTAGTAACTTTATATTTCCAAAATCCCTAACTTACCAGTGAATGTGAACTATCACTTTTGGTAATTTATCATAGTTTTCAAACCTGTTTTCAATCGTTACGAATATAGTGACAGTGCCATTCATCTATTCAAATATTGATGCTTCATACCGTTCGACCATCGACCAACCTATATATTGATTTTAATGGAATTATTGAAATATATTCGACTAGAATTTTCAAATTCATTTGTGGTTGTTGGCTTTTCTCATTTTGATAATTTTCTAATGTTTTTATATAATATTTTTTTATTTGATTTAAAATCGTCCAGTTGTACATATATCTGTACTGACAGTAGAATAGCCTGTGATAAAAACCATTAAAAATTAGTTACCTCACATTAGATAAATTTGATTTTTATTGCTAATGTCTAATATTATTAATATTAGAGAGAGGTATCAGTAATAATAGATCAGCTGGTCGTAAAATGAGCAACTGCTTCAAATTTCTGCCTCTTTTTATTTATGTTTAGATATCTTCTGTATGACTTTAATTTGCTATTTGAAAGCATTACTGTAAGATGCGATCTAGTTTTCAACACCTTTATTCAATTCATTTAGCAGATATTTATTTTTAAGCTATTGCAATGTGTTCGTTCCATGAAAAATAAAAGAAAACGGCGTTTATTTCTGTATTCTGGAGATTTTCTCTAAGAGCCCTTTTTTTTACTTTATAGTCAATTTTGTGATTCGACCATTAATCCAGACAAAATAATGAAAAAATCGAAATGTAAAGGTAATAGAAAAAAGCCATTACTACGTTCTGGCCTGCATGCAAGACCTCTTGCGTGATATTAAATATGGAAGCGGCCCGAGCCCCAGGCGTTAAATGTAGCCGGTTTTATTCCTGTACGCCCGATTATATAATCACATAGGAAGTTTGGGTGACCATTTCCGTTTAATTATCCTGGCGGGTAGTCCTGATAATTCATTTAGCAGATACCATCGGTAGATTCTTGGCAAATTATGCAGATGGCGATTAAAAGGTGTGCGGTTCGTACTGTTAGCAATTTGAATATGCATGATATTAGCCCAAATCCCGTGTCCACTTTTTTTCTTCGTAACCTGAAAAACTTTCTTTTTTTATAAGGATTGCAGATAATATATCTGTAAAATATCCTTTCTTTCTGTAATCGACTGATAGATATAAACAGACGTTTTTTTCCATTTCTAATAAAATTAAATTTCTTTAGTATATCAATTTCTAAGGTTAACGACAAGTGAATACATTTTTCATAGAAATGAGGTGGGTTTAACATTTTTTTAATTAAAAAAAGAAGCTATAACTACGGATACAAATGTTATGCGCACATTTATATCATGAATATGGCCCTCTAAAAGATATAGGTATCGAAATGGATAACAGATTATGATTTCTCATATCCAAATGTTTATAATTATGTTTTATAAATGTTTATATAAAAAGTATATTTTTAAATTTCAACTTTGACACCCTGTATCTTTATAACTATCATAACATTTTCAAGTAAAAAAATCTAGTACCTTTTATGAATATTGTATACAATTTTTATATTTGATTGTTGAAAAGTCTACAGAAGAAATAATAGGTACCTAGCCGTGTTTTATTTACCTGAGATCTCAGCTATTTTGAATGCTAATTGGTCAATTAAGTGGAATTAATTGAGATCTTGTGTAAATAAAATAAGGGTAATGATTTTTATTTGACTTCTCATTGATTCTACAAATTAAGACGTACCGAGCACAACAGCGTCCTCTGTGGTGGTACGATGAATTACTATACTGGCGGTATTTTCAAATTTGTATTTTAAAATTTTATTTATCAATTTTATAATGAGATATATTCTCGTATTGAACCGTTTTTGAAAGATTCGAAACTCTCATGCACGGTTCAACACGAGAAGCCTAGCATTTCCTACATAAATAATTGGGATATTGGGAACATTTATTCGATAATGTTATATATCTATCTATTTATACGACTATACGTATACGAGTATATGAGGAAAATACAATAATTATAAACTAAAACATTTATTACTTTATTACAGCATTTACATAAGCACTGTCTATCTTCTATAAAAATATGCGGCATGAAAAATGGAGTCAATATCTTAAATAAAAAATTTTTAAAATTCTTAGTTTCCGAGAAAAAAATTATTGAAGTTGTAGTACATTCAACCATTACATAGTTGGATAACTGTAGTCTTTAGAGTCATTCGCAATACGTGTGGAGAGCCACGTGGCCTCAGCGACTCCAAATACTGAAATCCGATTTTACAATCGTCGTGGCGTTAGTGTTTACCTGTTATCTGCGGTGTTTACAATAGTTTTTTAGTAGTTAGTGTCAAAAATGGCTTGCGTGTATAGCAACTCGCAGTTGACGGATATCGTTTTAATTTATGGTGTAGCAAGACAACATTTGTGTTAGTTCGTAGGAACTGAGTAAGACGGACCCAAATCTGGATAAAATTTTGAACAGTTGTTGTAACATTAAGTATGTCAAATTATTTTATTATTTAAAACTACAACTTAATTTAATTAATTAATAATAATAACAATAACTACAAAAGCAGTTGAATTTGCTGATATAAAATAGGTACTATAAAATTCTATTTATTTCTTTCCTTGCGAAAGTTTTTGTTCATTTTTATCACACTTTCTCCTTGAACAGGTTACTATCAATTACATTACAAAGTTAAATTAGCAATTAGGATATCATATATCGATATTATCACTAAATGTACTTCAAAATAGACACCGATTATTTGTTTGCTAAATGAAAATTAATGAAAAGCAAATTTTATTTCAAATTAAAGAAAAATATTCTGTTAAAACTGTTAAAACAGTACAATAAATATAATATTGGTAATGTGAAACTGCAACACGTCAAAAACATTTGCTATTAAAGATTATACATTCATGAATTCTTATAGCGTCATTTAAAAATGCTAATAATAATAATGAATAAATTACAAAGAATTAATTTTTATAACAAGAATAAATTTTAAAATATCTGAACCATTAATAGTCAATTGCACCGGCATTATATAAGATATGTTTAAATTGCAAAGTACGTATATTCTACGGGTTTTTGAATATTACTTTGAAGATTATAAGAAAAATTTTTTATTGAGCTCTTATAGTAAATTTTCCTAAATTTGAAAATAAAGTTTAAAACATTTGCCATAATAACTTTGTAGTTTAGGAAGGAACATATAAATAATAATACCCGATAATAAATTTTATATTAAATTTGAAATTACAATGCATTGTTTCAGATTTAAACCAAATTAGTTTTAGCACATACTAATAGATGGCGAGAAATTTAATTGCAGGATTAAGAAGGGAGTGATCTTTAATAAACTAGTTACAAAAATCAAGGGATATCGGAGGGTAATGGTCTTAGAGAGAATAAAAAAAAAGGAAATTGAAGCTTCAAGGTTCTAGTTTTCTAGGATCTGGAATTTAAAATTTTTTAACGTTTGGATAAAACCGACGAAAAAAAATTGCAAATTTTTGTTTGTCTTTAAAAAACTATGGATTCTAATAAATCTTTTTTTATAATTTCAATGTGAACCTCTTTTAGATAATCTAATTCCCCTCAATTTGAGTGGTTGTGGAAAAAGTCATTTTTGACTTTGGCAATCGATTACTCTGGAAATAATGATCGTACAGAAAATCCAAGAAGGGTTTTGAAAACTGCAAAACATTCTTTACAAGTCGTAATTATTGGTTTTTGAAAAATTTAAATTTTTAAAGACACGCAAAAAATTTGGAAAATTTGTTTTTTGTTGGTTTTCTTACTTAACCGCTGATGCTAAAAAATTTTAAACTCTAGCTACGAAAACAAGAAACTTGATGTTTCAATTTCCTTTTTTATTTCCTCTACGGCCATTTCCCTCCATGTTACAGCTCTTTGCAGATCATTCAACAATTTGGGATTTTTTTTAAATCCCATAATTTTTGTAACTAGTGTATGTATAAACTAACAATTATAAAAGTTATGTTAATTTTTTATAATCAACATTTCAGAATGTTGTGTTTGTTTTGATCGAAACTTATATCCCTATTTCTTATTTTTTTTTACATGAGCCTGAAATTATTGACGTATAAAACCATCAAACCATCACTATCCTTCTTGACCTCCTGTCAATAATGCGTACCCGGTTCAACGTCCTGGCAGGACAATTAATTACGATAGGTGTAATATTTTCGCCAATCGATCAACCCGCTGATGTCCTGGCCACATGAAATTCCCTATTACGTGTTATAAGGTCCCATCGGGGACTTCATTCCATAAAGATAGATCACTGAACAAATGGAATTGCCTGTTTTGCATGTAATCTCTCTAATTTACGGAATAAATTATCGTTCAACTCGCTAAGTAGGTTTCATGACATCGCCCGTATCTGAAGAGATCGCGCCAGCTCCGCCGATCTGATAAAGACATGATTAATCAGTTTACGAGTGGTGTTTTCGTTTCATATTTGGCCAAAGAATTGCTTCATTTATTTACGACACGAACACGCCATTGCCTGTTTACTTAACTGATTATAGGCAACGTTTTTGAGGGGCTTTCGATGATACGTAGTTTTTATTTTAACGCAGATATTTTGTTTAATAAAACTTACCTTTTATTCAAAATTTGTGGATATTTGTCAACAAATGACTGTGGATGCAATTCAAATATCATTTTTGGAAAACTGTTATAAAATATTTTAATTCTGTTTCCTTAGTGTCAAAAATACACTAATTAAATGGAACGCAATAGTTATTTTT